CAACCGTCAACAGATTATTGCCAATAGACGTGTCTCTGCTTTGTCGTCGTTGTCATCGGCTTGATGAGCATTATATCCAAAATATCCAAAATTCCAAAATTAAAAATAGATTTTTGCCGTGAGCAGCTGACAGCAATTATTATTACAAATTTACAAAACTAATACTTTTATGATAGTTGATAAGTTACCTCCAAAGTCGAATGCTCGATCGATTTTGATTCTAGTAATATTAGTACGTTGAATGTTAAAATAAATGTGTAAGTAGGTACCTATTCATTGAAACTTGACGCTGTTCGTTTTTATTATTAGTTTGCTTTAAATACGTATCTCCATTAAATAAAAAGTGATTGCAATACAATTTTAAAAGTGTTGGTGCCAAACGAAAAATTGCAAAAGATGAAAGAAGAAGCAGTAGCTAAGTCTCGTTGAATGCCTGATTATATTATGAAGTCAACTCCGAATTATTCTGTTGCTCCATTAAACAATGATACAAATTAATGTTCAACTGCCTGCCCAAGTCAATCACTCAGTCAAAAAATATTGATGACAGCGATGTGGTAACTGGTAAGTACAAAGTATATTAAAAGTGATAAATGTAAGTTACTTAATAAGTATATATATAAACCTTTGCCACACTTTTACGCTAACGTCAAAATATAAATAGTCCAAATTCATGGTCACCGCTGGCCATTGTGTCACGTGCACACACACACATAATAATAAATAATAAACATACACACACATTATTATAATTAGGGTAACAGTTCCAGTGAATAAACAAATTGGACAAAAAAATCCTTTTGGAAAAAAATGTGAGCTATTGTTTTCTGAACATTGAGGTCGCTTTGAGAATGAACCTCTCAATAATGGTCGCCTACAGCAGTGGAGAAGTCATTTGAAGAGTTTAAATTTATAAAAAATCTACTCTTAGACTTCCATGCTGGATGAATTGCTAAATATTTTAGCTTAGATGAACATAGAAAGTAACATTTTAGGAGAACTTAGTTATGAAATTATTATAAAAGACCTCACCACTATAAATGACTTCAGCCAATTTGCTACTAGGCAATTTACTTCCATGATAATTTTGTTATTAAATCTATAAAAATGTATCGTACTTAATACATATAAAAAATAAATATGTAATAGGTACATAAATTAAATATGTCTAACCTAAATCTGTATATTGAATATTATATTCCAGTACCCACGATAGCACCCATACATAAGCTAGCCTAATATATCCTAAATGCACTGTATGTAGGTACTTGAGAAATATTACATCATACCTATAATTTTCAACAAAGTATCTACCTACATATTTTAGGTATTGTCGATTTTTGTTATTTCATGTATTTTTACATGTAGATGTGATTGTTCAAAATATAATTACAATTTATAAGTTATAAAGTCATATAATAATATGTAACTATGTAAGTCACTTAGTTTTACTGTACTAGTGTACTGCAATTTAAGAATAGATATGGATCTTCTTGGGCCACAATGTCCACAATTCTGTTCAAGATTCGAATATAACCAATTTATTATATTATGTGTTTTCCAGACATAACTGTTTTGTCTCAATAAAAGACTTCTTGATCACTCCCAATTCATTATTTTGTAAATTACATGATTTGTTTTGCCATTCTATAATAGTATCACAGATTATATTAACTATACGAGTATTATATTATTTTAATATTATATTTATTTATTTTATTAATTAATATAATCTGTGATAGTATAATGAGATATGATTTATAATATATCATGCAATTATACATCAAAAAGCATTTAACATAGGTACCTACTAACTGTATTATACTAAGGATATGGAAAAAATTGCAATAGATAGCAAATGCTTAGAGTTTTTGTACATGTTTTTAGAGCACATTAGGTGCATTTTACATTTATCATAATATGTTATACTTTTAACACTGCAGTTGACAATCATAAATTGTAAATTGTATGGTAATGATTTGTCAACAAGTGTTATTAATATTATAGCTTTGAAAGAGTCAGTTCTTGGTTTAAATAATTACTAATTAGATATATTATGTACTTTGATACTTATTTCCAGGGCTAGGTAAGATACTTTCAAAATAGGTAATTCATTCCAATCCATCACTTTGATGGATCAAGAAACTATCTATTATTGTATATTTCAATTTCTGTGTGTTCACAATCGTCAAAATAAATCAAATAACCAAACAAAACTAATAACTTTTCAAAATATAAATGTTTAAATATTATGCTGTTGTCTACACATTTATTGAAATAAGAAAAAATATTAATTAAATATAATATGAGCCTTAACACTTCTGCTGGCATTGATAAACCTTTTTCATTTGCTTTATAAAAATTTTCCTTGTTGGACGTTATATAGGTGGTTCAACATTTATGTTATTACAATTTATCATAAAAATATTCAAAATAGTGAGGCAAAAATATAATACAAGTGTTTTGATTTAGAAACATCTATTACGATTTCATGAATTTATACCTAATTATTAACAATATTTTAGTGGAGTTTTGGGGAGTCACCTGTTATAAATTCCAATGAGAACCTATCCTTTTGTTGAAAACACAATGTAAAGAAATTTTTTATATAAATTTTAGTGCATGAACAACATTAATTAATGCAAAACTCTAGGCTTGAGAGCTATTTAAAAAAAGTAGAGGTTTCCATTTGAAAAAGTTGACCCTCCAAAAATAATCTAAACAATTTGAATTATATAATTATGAAATCGTAATAGATGTTTCTAAATTAAAAAACATTTGTACCATTTATATTTCACTATTTTGAATATTTATATGATAAAATGACTGTAAAATAGTTTTTGAATTATCTGCATGTATATAATATACTAATTGGCGATTGCAGACAATATTTTTAGAAATATATTTGCTTTAAGTAATAAATGAATAATACTAATTTGCAATAACATCCATTCTACCTCCATTTTAAAAGAAAATTTATTATTCAACACGAAGAATGCTGTATTTAATAGAATTTGAATCTTATATATTGTAATACTTATTTGAAAATGGAATTTTCATAACATAGTGTTCTTGTATCCAATATGCTCTGTATAACTGTATATTATGTACATAATCACCTTATCTGACCCCATGATAGGATGTATCAAAAAGAGATGACAAATTAAGTACCTAACCTGTGTTCCAATCAATATTAAAATTTTTTTTTTTCATACAATTAATGTGTTCTACAAGCTTCTATAAATTATATGGAAAAATAGAATTTAATGTTTTGATTAGAGCACAAGTTATTTCTTTTGTCATATCTTTCTGTTACACTCAGTATAGATAACTATCAAATTGAAGAAAAATACCATTTACAGGCGCAAGTTAATTTGATTTAATAGTCTATCTTAGCTAAAATATTTATCTCTTTGTAACTTATATCATTTATTAGAGAGCACTAGTTTCTATATACTCCTTTTACATCAACTTGGTTGATAATGCATAATACCAAAACTTTTAAACATTTGACTTGTGATTATTGAGTACAAAAAAATCATCATAAGTCCATTTTAACATAATAAGAAATCAATAACTCGCATTTGACCTGTGGTTAATATTTTGATAATTTTTTTAATAACCCATCTGAAAATATTCCTAATGCATAATTTAAGTTGTTCATTAATTATTTTTATTCCTATAAAAATGCATAAAAATATCACAAAAATAAAATTGGTTCTAATAGCAAAAAAACCGGAAAACCATTTATTACTTTTCACAGTAATTGAGGGTAAAATAATATATAATATGATACTTAATATGGATGTGCAATTAATGAACAGATAATACCATCGATTAAAGCCATTGAATGCTGCAAGTGAGTTAAATTTAATATTGTCAATAATGAAAGACTCAAAATCTAAATTTTAGACATAGCCAAACTTTATTCACAAAGCGTATAGATTCTAAATCACCAAAACGCATATAACAATATTTACACACACATGTACACACAAACACATAAACTTCAACACAAATTTTTTGGACACTTAACATACATTATACATATTGAATATAAAAATATACGTATTCATACACAGTTCCACATTACATATATGCTACAACAAAACAGATACAATAGTACAAATTAGAAAATTTCAAAATTGGATTCTGTTTAACTTTAACTTCTACCATACAGTACTAAAGACCAAAAAAGGTACTACTGGCTTGAGTTCTCTAATAGTAGGGTTTTAATGGACTAAGTTGACTTGACTTCATTATTTTCAGGCATTGAATAGAACAGCCATATCCACCATTTGCATATCATCAACAAAATTTGAAATTCATCTGCTTATTAATTTAATAAAATATCTGTGGTTAAATATCATATCCGGAATGATTACAGGAATTTCTGAGAATCAAATATTTCATAAAAATCAAACATTAAGAAATCACAAGATAAATTCTTGAAACTTACAGCAATACCACATATCAATTTTTTCTCAAGTTTCCAGGAACAAAAAATACCGTTCAGATAATATAAACATAGATCATATTATGACTTCAATAATTAAAAACAAATAATATAAATTAACAAAAATAATGATATCAAAATAAATTATTTTAATAGCTAAATATATTGTGAAATAAAATATTTCAAGTTAGAAAAATAAATGTATAATATATACAAATTTGGGATGCAAGTTTTTGATGAAAAACAATACCATTTTTTTGAGCTGAATAAATCAATATTTTCTCTCAATGATAATAGGTAATATAGACCATGAAAAAATTAGTTAATTTACTTGAACCAGTCATCTAATTCGAATCTATTTCTAATAGGTAATTTATATATTAACAAGAACATGAAAAGGACTTAAACCTGAGCTTCAAAGATGTCCATCTACACAATATTTGACCATGCCATCGTTCAGAATAATATATATCTTAAATAACAAAATCACAGTTCAACAACCTTACAAAGAAACATTAAATATTTTCAACGTTTAAATCAATAATTTTTGAATTTCTTATTTGTACCGACATAACCAAATCTTCTACTGGCTCACTAGAATCATTTTCAGTTTTAATCGAAGTTGGAAACCATTTTTTTTTTTTTTTACACCATAACGTACTTGCAACAAACATACTTCATTGGGTATTTCTTGGATATTTGTGCACAGTGTAAATCAAAATATTCTTATTGACAACACATATCTAAAAAAAATGGCCATGGTTACTTTTCAATCAAATAAACATTAATTAGACAAATCGAAGCTTGTCAAATAATTGTTTTCCAGAATAGATTCCATTTTTGACATGCCTCGATGTGTACCGATATACTTAAGATAAGTAAAATGGTATTCTGATGATAGGGCTGAACAGCTATGATTACATGGACGATGTAATAATAAATTTTTTTTTAAAAATCCGATTAGAAAATAATTTTTATATATAATTGATTTTATGTAATGTCATTTATTACAATATGTTACATTGTATATGTAGTTTGATAAAAAATAAAAAAATTATTTTAATAATTTAAGACAAAAAAAAAACGTAATAAGTATACACATTTTTTTTGAATAAAACAAAAAAATATTTTAAAAAATGTACCATATAAATAAAATTAAAATACCGTCTACGATTTGCTAAGATTAAATACTTTTGCATATTTCTTTTTAAGGTCTTTGGGACAATATTTATCAACCACATCTTCAATTATTGTTTTATAGTCGAATATTTTTTTCAATTGATGCCTAACTTCTTCTAATTGAATTTTCGATACTTTGCTCCTTTGAATATTATCCTAAAAAAAATTAAAACAAATTGTTATACAATAAAACAAATTTAAATATTGAGCATTAGATTTAAAAATTAAATCAAATTCTATAAAATAGTTAAAGCTATAGATTCAACATAATTGTTTTTCAATTTGTTCGTGCAAATAATAGTCAACTATGATATTTGTACATACATTTTATAATGTTATTATATACAGTTGAACGTTTAAAAAAATAGAAAAAATAAAAGGTTTAATTAAGAATACAAAAGAAGTAGTAAATAATACAATGTAGAGTTGTTTACCTACTACAACAAGTAAATACAATAACTAGAGTCCGGATTTGTATGCATTTACATATTTGTGATGAGTGTATGCATTTAGATGGGAGTAAGAAATATGGACGATTTGTGTAACAGATAATGCATAGAAAAAAGTTTATTTTGCATATTCAAGCATATATTGTATAAAAGTTTATTAAGCCAATTATTTTGTTTCAATTTCATCGTTGAAATTATTAGTTCATTACGTATTTTTGGGAAATAAAATAATGTTATCGCCAGTAAATTGTGCACTAGTGCCCATATATCATTTCGTAATTTGCGTTCCGTAAATTTATAAATTAAAATTTTCATTTCATTACAATTTATAAATTGTAAAATGCCGAAAAGTCGAAGCACTATTCCAATTTGAATAAAAACATGGATTGCTCTTTATTAAATATTTACTGTTCTTTAATAAATGTTTAAAGTCAATGTCTATAATTAAAAAAAATATATTAAAATGTATATATTTTGGGTATGAGAGCATATCAAGTGCATATTTTGAAGTTTTTTGATGCATAAATGCATACTATTTTGGCCTTTTTGAGTGCATACAAATCCAGACTCTAACAATAACAAAGTTAAGAACTTAAAACTAAATATTAAAATCTTAAAATAAAATAATAAAAATAATATTATAATACAGCTAAATTTTTAATGCATGATTATAAAAGTGATAAAATAATCATTTTTTTCAGAATACGTACTTTAGTGAGCTCAACAAAATGATGGCACAGCCTAAGATCTTTAATAGTGGCTTCAAAGTGAGCTATGAGTTCAGTCATTCTTGCAATAATTTCATCTTCAATACTTATCTATAACATTTATTTTTATTTTGTTAATACATTTTTTACATTACTATTAGAGCAGTGATTCTCAGCAGGAATCATGTACAGACAAGTTGAATGTAGTCAAAACAAATTTTTATTTTTTCTTCCCGTTAATTTATATATTAAATAGCAAATCATTTTTAAGAACTGTAAGAAGTTAAACATATCAAATACCTAATAATAATATTGTATAGCATAAATTGTATCATTTAATTTTATTGAACACACTACTTTTATAATTTTTACGTATCTTTACCAGATTCCGTAACTTAAAAAATATAATTTGTCTGAAATTTAGATCAGTACAATCAGAATAATTAATATTTTTAATTTACCATTCCATCAAATTGTTGTAGTAAGTGCCTAACTCTCCATCCTGATATGCTATCGGACGTCCATTTTTTAGCTTGCTGCATATCGGCTAATTGCTTTTTAGTTTCTTTAATCTTAAAATCAGTGTACCTTCAAAAAAATCAATTATTAACAATAAAATCATAAGTAAATTACTAAAGTTAGCAGCGTAGAAAATTTAAGCTTTAAATTTTGTTCATGTATACAAAATTCAACAATTTTATTAATGTAGACACACATAAATGGTCTAAAATGAAATTTTTTTCTATTAAATTGAACTAGCATGTATACATATTACATCTTAAGAAAATGCTACCCATGTTATATTGTTACCATCTTACAAATGTAAAACAAATCAAATATGAGTTTAGCCAAACCAATTTTGTGTAATTAGCTTAAATATTAGAATTATTTGACCTTAACTTAAAGGGTAATCTTATCACTTAAACACCACTCGAAAAAAATTGTATTATACATAGTTTAGATACCATATGATGTATAAAAAAATACCATGAATGTGTGAAATGAAAATTATTTGAAAGTACTCATGATGTCATCACATTGGCCATCTCCATGAGTCGGCACTGGCAGGGGACCACAGCAAATCATATAGAAAATATTCTCATCGCTTACCGATTATTAAATATATGATATTATTATTTATTATATTATGTATGGTTAATACTGATTGTGATTTTATTTTTAGCTTTCAAATAATAACCAATACTGTCTACCAAATAATGCATATAGTATTTCAGACACTAGTACCTTACACATTCATCAGTATACATAGGATATTTGGATCATTGTGTAATATCTAATTTTATATATAGATTTCACTTGTAACTTTTACTTCTTCACTACTATGCCTTATTCGGTAGTACTAATAATAAAATAGCCAGCTCATCGATTTGCCTATGCATCTGAAGGAATGGACCAATTTTTATGCAGACATTATAATCTAACCAATATTTATAATTTCATTATATTTTGCACCAAACATCATAAGTTATAATAACTCAGACAGAATACATGCTGTGAAAACCATTTTGATACATAATTATGGTTATTATAGTCCATTTTGACCACTCAAATTTCGATCAACTAATATCTAAATTGAATTTTTTTTAATCTTAAATCTATAAGTACATGTCTTAGAAAAGTAGTCAGTGATTCTTAGCCAACAGGAAAAATTTTCACAATTGGGAAATTGATGAATTTTTTTTTTTTACTACAACCAAATACAATACAATAAGGCATAGATGCAGTAGTGAGCAACTAAAAGTTACAATTAAAATGTACACACTTAAAAAGAATATTTTCAAACATATTATTCATATGGTTTGATGCAATCACCTGCCAATGCTGTAGGGAGACAACAGATGCAATGTCATAGGTACATTTGAATTTAACTGTAATTTAGTAAACACATTTTGTTTTCACGATATACTTTTTTAATAATGTTAAGGTGTCATTTTAAAGGTAAATGTTTGTTTTAAGTAATTGATTACTTATAATATAATGTTTGTATTCATTTAGCGAAGTAAGTTCTATTAATACTCTACCTTTGAAAATGGTGAGTATGTCCTCGCCAAGTATTCTTATAACTTCCCAATAATGTGGGTCGTTTATTTTTAGGTTTAATGCAAGCTGAGCTTTCATCACTGACTTCTGTCTTAACATCTTCGAAGAATGGTTTTTCTGACTTAATATAATCAAATTCTTAAAAATAAACAGAAATACATGATAATTGTTGTAATTTACAAATGGATGCTATAAATTGTTTGGCAACTCACCATCTCCAAAATCATTCCCAAAATCATCATCATCATCATCATAATCATCATCTGCTGGACAATCATCATCAACATCCATATCATCTAAATCATCTTCGGCTTCATCCTCAGCATCACCATCGAGTAAATCATCATTACACATTAAATCATCATCAGGAAAATCTTCAGGTTTCTCAATTTTAATTAATTTTTCATCCACATACTCCATATCATCACCAACTATTTTAAATGGACTCTCTTCTTGATTAACAGGACTAAGAAATGAAGTAAAAACATGACAATTATTAGTATAATTAAGAATAATTTTTAAAAAATTGTTTAATATCATGTATACTTACAGTAACTGTTTGCGAGGTTTTTTCCGTGGACTTATTTCAACCATTATATGGGATTGCCTAGATAAGGCAGTAATTTGAGGTAGTAACGTTCCCTCTGGTATTTGTGGTACCATAATTGATTCTATTTGTAAACCAGTTTCATTATATCCATTTCTGTTTAGTGATGTATCTTCTATATTTTGACATTCTTCTATCTCAGGTTTGGTTAAAAGTGGTATTAGATTTTTTTGCGCCCTAAGTACACTATATTTATAACATAAATTAAAAATTAGTACAACAAACCAAATTACTTCATAGCTACTTACCCATCTGCATCACGCTTCCTTAAAATACTAGGCCTAGGTGAAATAATTGGTTTAAATACATGTTGACTATTGGGTATATTTATACATGGCTCATCGATATTTCCAGGAATGGGACCTATAAAAATACAAAGTTTGTATATAAAAACATGAGTTAATATCCAAAGATATAATAATATCTGTTAAACAGCAATTTGAGTATTATCTAGAGGATTATTGTAAATATTTTTTTTATTTTTAATGCCTAAAATAGTTTTGTACATTTGGCTTAAACATGTAACTTCTCACACTCATTAAAAACTAAAATTTGTTATAGTGCTAATTAATTGCATGATTCATGTGTTCTAGAACTTCAAACAAATTAACTACATCTATTTGACTACCTAATTATATAAATACTTCATAAATTGCATTAAGGATACTATTTTACTTCTACATGTTTTTGTTATTTTAATTTTTAATTGAATTACTCATTTTAATAACATATGTACCATGCCATTTATTTATAATTTAATAAATATAAACTGAAACTAACCAACAACTATCAGTTTTAGGTTTCCAAACATAAGTTTAGAACAAATTGTCAGTAGTTATAGTACATAGTTATGATTGTTTGCATTAAGATATTTAATAGTTATAATTGTTAATATTAATATAGATTAATTCTAGCAAAATATTAGGATTTTCAAATTATGTTTCAATTGTATTTGAAATTTGTTTATTTATTAGTATTTAAATAACGTTTGATAACCAGGAATTGATCAAGTTTGCAGTGTGCTATCCTAGCTAGTTCTTTTTAATACAATCCCAATCATACCTTAAATTAATATAATTATAATATTTATTGAATGTACGTACAATAATGTTGGTAAAAGGAATTACTATGACATATAAAGAAGTTAATAAAAATATTTACAAGTATGCGAAAGTATAACTTACAGGGAGTCAGTCGTGCATATTTGATTTTATTTAAATGATGAACAATAAAAAAATTCTTAAAATGTTTATAATATGAGGTATAGTCGCTAAATATAGATTTTGATTTATTGACAATATATTTTTAATTTTATTACATTGTTATTATTATTGTTGTCTTAGGAATGATGTCCAAAATATAATTTAGCCTATTTTAAGTTATTTTACTAATATAAATAATTTGTAATAATTACCATGAAGAACTGCAGGATTAATAACAGTATTTTTATGGTGGTAACTTTTTGGAGGAAAACGAGCAAAATCACTCTGAGTATAAACTGGTGGTGTACCTGACACCAAACTTTGTCGTACGCCTGTAAATTCAGGTAAACTATCATAAAAACCTATAACAAAAAATTCAAATATAAATCAATCAATTAAAGTAATGCATATTAAAATTTAGAATGACAAAACAAGTATATCACAATGATCTAAGACATTCAAATGTAAAATAACATACCTTTCTGATACACCTATCATATACCAGGATGCATTAACATAAGACACTCATTATTTCAAAATCGTTTAACATTCTTGAAAATATTTGTTTACATAAATTCAAGTCATTAAAATATATCATTTTTCTAAAACTCTTTTTTATTGTTACCATTATTCAAGTTGTTTAGTACTTTTAATGACAACATACATTTTTAATTTCTTATTCAAAGGCAGAATATTCTTAGTAAAACTTAAATGGATAAACATTGAATTTGGCAAATAGTTTGTGAGTATTACGTATTTGAAGTTCAGATGAGCGGAGTGATGTGGCACAGGAATACCTCACAAAATATTGGTCCATTATTCCTTCACCTATACTTCTTATATATAACTAATAACTACTTCTCTGAAATTTGATATTTTATAAACTGAAATACTGCGAATAATATTTGGCTTAGGAATAAGAAATTAAAAATGAATGTTGTTATTCAAGAGTAAAATCCTCAAAAAATGATAGCAATATACAAATGGTGAAAAAATTATTTTACAGTAACAACTTAAAATGATGTGGAATATTTTCAAAAAATGTTAAACAAAAAGTTTTCTGAAATAATTTATCTGTGTTCAATGGATCACCCATACATAATGTATAATACAATAAATCAAATTCAAATAATATATTGTTTAACATACCTGTCTTATTTATTACAGAAAAATGTGATACAGCAGGCGCTGATGGTACTGGAACAATCTGTGAGTGCAATAATATAAAAACAATACATTTAATATTACTTAGGTATATAAATTTAAAACACTAAAATTGTATTTTTGAATCAACAGAAAACATACTTTAGCAGGAACAATTTCATTAGCCGAGTGAATAACATGTGATGAAGGTGTTATTATAAGTGGGGAAACATTTTGAGATTCCATAATAGACCGCTGCAATGATGTTGTTACAATACGACTTTGCGCTTGAGCTGTCATTTGAGATCGTGCAGGTGCAAATCCAATCGTTTTTATAAGTGCTTCACTTTTCATCTGAATCTATTAAAAAGAAAGAGAATATAACTATATTTTTGTACTAAAAAAGTTTGATTTAAGCATATTTTTAACTTTAATCGAAAGAAGTTACTTAGAGACAATATTTCATTCAATATCATGGTTTTTAACTTTCAAAGAAATACAAAAAAATTATAAAACCTAGAAATGTGTGTATTGGTCTGATTCTTTGGGTTGAAAAATTGATCAATATGAAATGAAATCACAAATTACTATAATATAGCATGCAGTATTTAACATTTTAATGTTACTTCATCAAAAATTATAACAGATAAATTAGTAGTAATAAGTTTGATCAATGTAAATATATAATTATAAATAAAAGTTACTCTGTTATTAGTAACTATCCACATTGTCAAATCAAGTAAATTATAAAAATTAACTAAGTAAATTGGTCCCACTAAAAATTAGAGGATTATTTTGTAATTTCACCTACAATACTACATTTGATTATGTTTATATTGACTTAATGGAAAAATTTAAGTTTAAATCTGAATCAGAAAGAGTACAAAATATGTAGGTAAGTATAGATTAAAAAACACATCATAAATAATTGATTATTTTGAGCAATTTAAACAAATTTTAAAAATGATTATAAATATAAAATTATATAATTCAAAAGTTATTTTGATAATGTATTATAAATCATAAAACATTATGTTTAAAAAAAGTGCAGAGCTAATTTCAAGCCACAAAAAATCTAAAATAATTAGTTATTAAGTTTATATGTTTCTGTATTAAATTCAGTATTAGTTAAAAGTAGCAGTTGCAATTCATATTATACAGTCTAGTACTTTAGAACAAATGCACAAGCATAATACATAACCTACATGCAAATTATACACAGGATTTAGTATTATTTTCTAAAAATAAATAGGTATAACTTGACTTACTTGTGAACTCAATTGCTTATTAGGATGTAATATTACAGGACAAATACCAGGTTCCTCTTTAACTTCATGGGCTGACAACTTTGGTATACCTTATTAACATAAAATAAATATAATTAGGAATTAGACATTTAAATTATAAAATTAAAATTAAAAAATGTTTTATCTAATATTCCAACATCTATGAACATAAATACATATTCATTATTAAGAAAATATGTACTCAAAATAAAATAATAAAATAATGAATAAAGAAATAAATTAGGTGATTTTAATATAATTTGAAATCACATTAGTGCTTTATTCACTTTTTATAATTTTCAGAATTTGAACATTTAACATTAAAAATGTTTAGTAATTGTTTATCAACTCCGTCTTAGAAAGTTTTTTTAAGTTGTAAACTAACCTGGTTTTATGGAATTTCCAATAGGTGGAAATTGAGTTAACGGTATATTATGAGATGGAGGATTGCACATTCTGTATGCCTAAAAAATACAACACATTAATTAATACACATATTATAATACTGATTTTTTTTGTACCTACCTATGACTGTGAACATATGATAAAAATAAAATTTTAAAATTTTAAGGCCAGGCAAATTAAAAATAATAGCTGATAAAATAATTTGAGGACATTAAGCATTGTAATCTATATTAACAATATCTTACACAAAGTATAAATAACATTGAAAAGGCATAAACTAACCTAATTTCTGTTTATTTATTTTAGAATTTAAAGTTGGGCACTAGGAGAAAAGAGTCAGTTATTCCTATCTATTCATCTTGTCATAGAAGGTAGTTAATTAATTGATATTATAATATTTGATGCTTATTATTCTTTATACAATGATACTAAATGTTGTAATTGATTTCATTGTTTTCGATTGTTTTGTTGCAGAACTAAACATTTAAGTACAATTTAAAACATTGGAGATACAAGTTTTTGCTCATGTGTTAACATAATTTTTATCCACATCAATATCAACATTTGTTAAGTTATAGAGAAACACAAAATCATTGACTGATGATAAAAGAGAAGCAATTTAATAAAAACTATTAAATTGTAAATTATCCATTTTCTTTTCTTAAAAATACCAACTATGGAACAAATCATTTTGTTTACACAAAAACAGAGTTTGGCGAATGGGAACTCAATGAGAGGCTTTCATACTTCCTCAATTAATCAAAATTAATCACGACAAGGTAAAACAATGAAAAATAACATCTCAAATAAGAAAAAATAAGAAAATAATTATTTGATTTTTTATGGAAACCAAATTTGTTTTTTAATTTGTTACTTAATGGTCAATTGAAAAACCAACGTGTAACATATCATGCAAACAAGTTTAGCTATTCAAAATGTGGCGCAGAAAAAATCATGATTCAGCCAACTGTTAGCAGAAACTTAATTATTATATTAAGTAGGTGCAATGTTGTGTACTTCCGTTGCATTCAGCAGAGTAAAATGGTGGGACATCAACATTGAATTTACAGTGATGCCATTTCAGACGAATTAATTTTCACATAATTGCACAACATTTATTTAGCGTTACGGATACTTCTGGGATTATGTCTGTTGGTGTTTTTCATGGAACATTCCTAGTCAGAAAACATTATGTAAAACCAACTCCATAATACTGTCAACATTTTTCCCGTGAACCGAATGCGCGCATTCATAGTACTGAAAACGAAGACGATGCCAGTGGAGTAAACAAGCGTACCAATGTAACTTCAACATTAGTACTGAAAAACGTACTGAAAAACGTACAATCAGTCGTCAGTCGCAAACCGTGAGCGACGGAAGAGAGTGCAGAGAAAATCAAACCGACATAATAGTATTTCGATACGCATACACTACGTATTACGTAGACGGTTCGAACTGCTGAATTGCCGTCGTATTAAGACCTCGGACCCGTACGAAGAAAAAACCGTTGCGATTGTGAGACCTATCGAGTCGTACGATGTTTTCGGGGGGGATTCAAAAAACGGCAGAACACTTATCGAACGTTTTTTTTTTTTGTTTTTTTTTTTTACGGTTTCGATTCAAACTTTCGTCACGAACGTGGGGGCGACGGGGGGAGGGGGTGCCGTTGCAACCGCTGGGCATTTTTCGGTGCCAATTGGGCGGGAAGGCGGGCGGGCGGGCGGCGTCGGGCAGACAAGACAGACGGGCGAGCTACCGAAACGTGACGGCGTCGAGCCGATACTCACGGTGGCCGGGACGTCGACGGCGCCTTTGAGGACGACTTCTTGTTTGCCGATGTTGGAGAACGGACTGGCCGTCAGTATTATGTTGCCGTCTTTGATCTGGTCGGCGACGTCACTCATGCTGAACGAGTACGGGCGGGTCGCCGGTAATACGGTACGAGACGACGACGACTACGATCACGACAACGACGGCGGCGGCCGCGGGGCTCCCTCGGGCCTCGGCGGCGGCGGTGACTGCGGCTGCTGCGGCGGCGGTGGACTGGACCGACTGTGCGCGGCCGCTCGGAAAGCTATCGCAGACCGCCGGACGGACTCAAGTCGGACCGAACGACGCAACGGGCGCACAATAAGGGGCTGTGGACAACGACGGAACGGTGGCCGGTGGACGACGCGGCTGCGGCGGCGGCTGTGGTGGCGGCGGTTGCGGCGACGACGGACGGCATCGCGCGCGACCGGACGACAACACGTACACCACCGGACGACGTCGTCGTCGACGTATTTAGAACGCCCGCGCGACCGATTGCGTCGACTGTCTCGTTAAGTACGCGGCGGCAGCGGACGAGCGTTTTGGCTAATAGCAGCAGCGGCGGTTAAGGCAGACGACAGCGATTTAAAGTCCGATTTCGCGTTCTGGCCACGTACCGCGAACCACAACAACGCATATAATATCGTTATGGTCGTAGGAATATTACTGCCGCTCGCCGTTTCGGTTGTTGTTGTTGTTGCAATATTATGAACGTAACGCGCGTGTGTCTGTATAATAATATTATAATATATTAATGTAGTCGAGTGTATGTGTGTGCATAAGTGTGTGTATGTGTGTATAGAAATGTATTACGATGATAGAAATTTGCAAAAAAAATCGCGAAAATTGAACGCGGAACGAGTGAAGCGGTCGTTTTCTAGCCGCCGCCGCCGCCGCTGCAGCCGTTGTCGTATCGTCGTCGTGTCGTCGTTGTCGTGTCGTCTTGTCCTCGTCGTCTTCAGAGCAGCAGCAGCAGTTGTAGTAGTAGTTGTTGTTGTCTAAATGATAATATTGGTAACCTGCTGTGTTTCGTTTGCTACTGGTGCGCTCGGCCGTCTCGATTGAAATAAAAATGTATGAATTCGCGCGCGCGTCACATGCACTGAGCAGTGGTACGGGCCGAGTAGACAACACACTGGTGGCGCACACAAGTATTCCGTCGCGGTGCTTGCGGGCTGCCGAGTTGTGTCGGGGACCGCCGCCGCCGCCGCCTGCCCGACAGTGCTGCTTGCTGGCAGCTGCTGGATAATCTATGGCACAGACGGGACGATGCGCGTGCGCGCAAACCATCACCCCGCCCCGCCGACCGACCGTATCGTGCGAGGCCAGACGGCGGCGGTCGTTACAGACACGAAAACGCGCGCGAAATCGCGGCTGAGACGTGACGCCGTCGTAATTATTGCGGAAAACGTTTTTCGGTTTTCCGATCGATCTCATCGAGTCGGCGACGTACAGGCACATCGGGCAGAGGATTGTCGACGTCCAGCTTTCGGGCGACGTTCGTCAAGCCGTTTCCGTTTGTTTTGTTTTCATTCGATTCTCGATTGTTTTTTTTTTCCATACGCGTATTACTTTTTCTTTTTTTTTTCTCTTTTTCTTTTTTAACGACTGTAATTGAACTGTAACAGTTTTGACTGGTCGACAAGCAAACAATGGAGCAAACAATGGAGGTACGGGCGGCGACGCGACCGCCTCCAAAGGCGCGCGTTATCTGTGCTACGTTTTTATGCTTATTATCACGTCTCGAGGTCCAGCCGATTTTCTTTCTCTTTACACGTCGTCACGATGACACAGTTAGGTATTGCAGTAGTTGTGCGATCGTTTTCGTCCCACACTTGGGTAGGAGATACCGACCAAACGCCCTCCGCCATTACCACCACCGCCGCGTTTTACTCTCTCGACATAAAGTCAATTTAAAAGCAGAAAATGCCAGACAAAAGCCTCAGCAAAATAAACACAGTCAAATGATAAGATAAAAAATAGTAACGGATGATGACCAGACACCAGATTTATCGCATAACTAAAATGCTATCGATAGACAATAATAGTTACTAGGTATGATGCGTGTATAATTATCATTATTATTTTACACCAAGTTATAAGTTCGACTAAATTTTAACTACATTAAAAACTTGAACGTGCCAATTGATAGTAATAATCGAGTTGTAGTTCCCATAGTGATATTATTTTTTTATCTTTGTTAATTATTGTGGAGCAAGAAAGCAATTGGTTTTACACTGGTATGTTATGTTTTCAATATTGTTAACATTTTGAAAATTGTAATATATAAAATTACACGATTGTTTTTAATGAAACAAAGTTAAATAGTGCAAAAATATACATGTTTTTTCAAAAGAAAAATATATGTTTAGAATGATAATAATTAATTATTATAAAAAAATAAAATAATAAGCCAATTAAATTAAAATAATATGACATTACATTTATAATTTAATAGATTTAATAGATAGGTTTGAAACTTCTAAGTTCAAAAATGATTATTTTAATGATAATAATTTTTATCTTGCACTAAAAGAACTCAATGCTATTTTATATAATCCAAATAGTTTGTATAGAATTGTCCAATATAATATACACTACAATTATTTGAAAACAAAATATATCAAAACAAAAAAACCGAAAGTCTCTTTACTAACCACTCAGAATTTAAAAAAAATTTAATAGGACTCAATAAACGATTTATTGATCACTAAATATTGTGCGTTTTCAAAGAAACCGAATAACTATATTTAATAATAATTAGTTTTAGTTACTTACAGGATTTGAACCTGGAGCACACAATGAAACATGATTTTTGACTTGATTAGTATATTGAATTGAAGGAAGCATTTGTGTATCTAATCAAAAGAAAATACATGAATTATAATTAATATTAAATAACAAATTTATAAATAAAAATGTCTAAGTACATTACAATTGATTTGTATTATCAGTAATAACTAATAAGCAGTCTACATATCAAATATGAAAAACTTTTTAATAATACTAGTAGGTATTTAATTTTTAACTAAATTAAAATTTTTATGTCACATTTCAGACTTATTAGAAATGTGTACTATTTACTTAAATTTCTACTCAATAAATTATATTTTAATTCTGAAATACTAGAATTTAACTCAAAACTGTTGACAATGAAATAAAATATGATAAGTACACTTCTAATAACTGTATTTTAATAACAACAAATTATTGATGAAGATCTGAAAACAATCAGGAACATTTTTTTTAATTTTGGAAATCATGAAAGTATTAATTTTCAAATACAAATACGCTCAAGAGAGTATTTAAAATAATTTAAATACAATTAGTTTAAGAATTATTATAAATATTATAAAAATATTTCATAGCATTGTTATTTTATTTTAAATATTTTTAAATTTAAGGATTATAAGGTATTTTAAAATGAAGTATTAACATGTAAATCATTTTCAAAGAACTATTTATCGAAATTTGAGAATGTTTTTTTCATCATCATTATATTATTATATTTATAATATAAATAAAATTATTAAACATTTATACCTAAATTACAATATATTAAATTACATTAACAAACTATTAATAAATTAATTATTATTAAAATAAAACAAATCATTTATTTTCATTTTTCAGCGTAAAATTAAGTCGGTAGTACAAAGTACTAATGATTTTTAAATGTATCAATATTAAATTAGTAATAAGTAATACAAAATTAATATTTTATGCCTAATTATAAAAATGAATCGGTAAAATTAAAAAAAGTATTTATACTTGTATTTAAATACATTTGTTGAATACTTGACAAGACTAATTGTAAGTAATAATATTAAATTTGAATAATTTGATTAAAATTCAATGAATAAATCTCTGAAAAATATACAATAAGATAAAATTTACCATAATTTGGACGGTCAACGTTGCTAGTCCCTTGCTGATTTTCAAAGTTACTTGTGTTTGGTCTGTAAATAATTTAATAATAGTTCACATAAAGTTAACATAGCATTTAAATTTTAAAATATGATATATATTCTTACATTATTTGTGGTTCAGGTTGTATCGGTCTATATCCTTCCTGATTTTCTAAGTTACTTGTGTTCGGACTGTAAATAATTTAATAATAGTTCACATAAAGTTAACATAGCATTTAAATTTTAAAATATGAAATATATTCTTACATTATTTGTGGTTCAGGTTGTATCGGTCTATATCTTTCCTGATTTTCTAAGTTACTTGTGTTCGGTCTGTAAATAATTTAAAAATAGTTCACATAAAGTTAACATAGCATTTAAATTTTAAAATATGATATATATTCTTACATTATTTGCGGTTCAAGTTGTATCGGTCTATATCTTGCCTGATTTTCAAAGTTACTTGTGTTTGGTCTGTAAATAATATAATTATTGTTCACATAAAGATAATGTAACATTTAAATATTCAAATAAATGTAGTTAAAATATGATATATATTCTTACATTATTTGCGGTTCAAGTTTTATCGGTCTATATGTTGCCTGATTTTCAAAGTTACTTGTGTTCGGTCTGTAAATAATTTAATTATTGTTCACATAAAGATAATATAACATTAAAATTTCACAATAATTGTACTCAACATATGATATATATACTTACATTAATTGTGGTTCAAGTTTCATCGGTCTATATTTTGTCTCATTGGCACAGTTACTTGTGTTCGGCCTGTAAAATATTTAAAAATAGTTCACACAAAGATAACATAACATTTAAATTTTAAAATAATTGTACTTAAAGTATGATATATATGCTTACATTAATTGTGGTTCAAGCTTCATCGGTCTATATTTTGCCTCATTGGCAAAGTTACTTGTGTTCGGCCTGTAAATGATTTAATAATAGTTCACATAAAGCTAATGTAACATTTAAAAGTTAAAATAAATGTACTTAAAATATGATATATATTCTTACATATATTGTGGTTCAAGTTGTATCGGTCTATATCTTGCCTGATTTTCAAAGTTACCTGTATGCGGTCTGTAAATAATTAAATAATAATTCACATTATGTTATCATAACATTCAAATTTTAAAATAAATGTACTTAAAATATGAAATATATTCTTACATTAATTGTGGTTCAATTTGTATCGGTCTATATCTTGCCTGATTTGCAATGTTACTTGTGTTCTGTCTGTAAATAATTTAATAATAGTTCACATAAAGCTAACTTTACATTTAAATTTTAAAACAATTGTACGTAAAGTATGATATATATTCTTACATTATTTGTGGTTCAAGTTGTATCGGTCTATATCTTGCCTGATTTGCAATGTTACTTGTGTTCTGTCTGTAAATAATTTAATAATAGTTCACATAAAGCTAACATAACATTTAAATTTTAAAATAATTTTACTTAAAATATGATATATATTCTTACATTATTTGTGGTTCAGGTTGTATCGGTCTATGTCTTGCCTGATTTTCTATGTTACTTGTGTGCGGTCTGTAAATAATTTAATAATAGTTTATATAAAGCTAACGTAACATTTAAATTTTAAAATAATTGAACTTAAAAGATGATATATATTCTTACATTATTTGTGGTTCAGGTCGTATCGGTCTATATCTTGCCTGATTTGCAATGTTATTTGTGTTCGGTCTGTAAATAATTTAATAATAGTTCACATAAAGCTAACTTTACATTTAAATTTTAAAACAATTGTACGTAAAGTATGATATATTCTTACAGTAATTGCGGTTCAAGTTGTGTCGGTATATAATTTGCGAAACTGTTGAAATATTGTTTCCTGGCTGAATCAGAAATTTGAGGAACACCATTTTGGTTGTTGTTAGAAGTTGAATTTACTGATGCACTAGTTTTACTAAAATTGAATATTTGTACCGAGTTTTCCAATACAGTTTGGTTGTGGGGTGTAAGTTTGCTTGTTGGTACACTTGGTATACATTTTGTATTTGCTCTATGTAAACAAAATAAATAAAATTTGTTTTATTTATAATAATGATTTTTAAAAAGAATGGATAAATACACTTACCCATTGTGTGTTACTACTATAGATGATGGTTTGGTAGTATTTTGTCTAATAGGTAGACTGGTTGAACAGCCTTGATTGTTTGTAGTAACGGTACCTACTAATGTATATTAAGAATTATTAGTATATATCATTTATGAACAATTTACAATCTTAATAATGATAACTAATAAGTAATAATGTATCAAACTATGAAACAATCAATGAATAATAAATAAAATTCAATACAAAAGGTAGAATATGTCGCTTTAATGTTATAATACAAAGCATTATTAAAAACTTATAACAAAACCACTACTAATTTAAAAGGAAAGAATTTTCTACTTCAGCTTCTATATGAAGGTTTCATTTCAATGGACATTAGTACAGATTAATGTTGTTTTAAAGTTTATTAACATTGAATAATAATATTCATTTCCAAACATTATTTTTTCGAAACTATAGGATGTATACAGTAATAATAATATTTGGTTTGTTATACTTTTATTGAGTTTATTTCTTACAGGCTGAAAAAATAAAATATAATTAGTGGGTAGCAATATGTGAGTTATGACACAGAATAAATTATTATGTGATCTTTCTTACACATTATTGATTTAACAAATTTATATTATAATTCTTTGAAGATTTATCCATATTATGTAAATTAATAAACAAACATACATGAATGTTATTATTTATAATATATTGGCTTTAGGAAACACTAAGGATATTAATTTTAATTAATTATGCTGTTAAATTATATGCCACAAATGTATTTTGTTATATTAATTGAATGGGAATTTTAATATTATTAGTAAGTGCTATAATTATTATTGTAACTGTTATTTACTACACAATTAATATGTACAATGTTTTGTAAATGGAGATTTTTTTTCTGTCAATAAAGTAATAATAATAAATAATAATATTATTATTAGGGCTCGGATGTTTAAGCACTTAAAACTACTGTAATATGCATGCATTTATGCACTAAAAAATTACGAAATATGCAAACAAAATCTGTACTAAAGTTTTAAACCCAGCATTCTTTTCAATTAAGTTCTGAAATTTGTCGTAAATTTCTTTTCCCACTATTCCATTAGCCATTTTGAGGGTTTCTCTAGTATTATTGACAACATTAATTGATTCAAACAAAGTTAACCCAGATGATTCTAATTTAGTTATGTTGACTGGTAAACATCTAAAGTTGAACTGAATGAATATTAAGTTTGGGACTAAGTTTGGTTCAGCCATAATGCTAATACTTTTTTCGATTGAAACTGCTTCATCTGGGTTTAATTTTGAAAATACATTTTGTATAGTTGTAAAATTATCAGAATAGTAAAATGTGGCCTCTAACCATGTTCCCCAACGTGTTATTATAGGCACTAGAGGTAGAGGAATACCAGAAGCTTCTGTTTTAAAAATCTTTAAACGTGATGGTGCTTTCAAAAATACTTTTTTAACGTTTGACACAAGTCCGTCTACGTTATTGAATTTTCCACAAATTTTTTTCACTACTCTATGATGTGCATGTACAAGACAGGTGACGTGCACCATTTTTGAATAAAGCGCTTTTAACAAATTTGCAGCTTTAATCATATAGGGGGCGGCATCAGTAACAAATAAAAGAACATCATCGTGACGAATACCTTCTGGCCATAAAAGAAACATCGATTGATCAAAAACTTTACTAATTGTAAAGTAATTTGCTTTATCTAACTCTTCAGAGTTCAATAAATACAATTTACCCGGCGTATTTTTATCAAGAATACCAATAATCACGTTTGCTACGTAGCGGCCTTCGCAATCTGTTGTTTCGTTAATATTTTACGTTAAATTGTCTTGAAATATGCATTTATACTCTTAAAACCCAAAATTATGCCATTAAAATACAAAACCACTAAATATGCAAAAATAGCATTATTTTATTCGGTAGAACATGAATCAAATTTGTATCCAGGTTAGCAATAAATTGGATAAATAGAAAAAAAAAAAGCAATTTCATAAACATCCGAGGCCTAATTATTATATATTACAATATATTGTAAACATACAAATAAGAAATAAACATAACCAAGTTGTACATTGGGAAATAGAAAATAATTTTTATTTGAAAAAAAACTAATGATAATTGTGAAAAATAAATTACTATCGAGCCTAAAATACATTTTCAAATTATTTATGAAATGTTTATTTGAGACTCAACAATTTAACTGATAAAATAAACTTTTTTAAATTAAGACTATTTGTATAATACAATAAATTTAGTTGGGACAAACATAATAAGAAAAAATTTAATAAATCCCAAAAATAGAATAAATAACTGAACTATGAAAATTTATAAAATTATTTTATTGTGTACATTTTACTTATTTTAAATCAGATGATATAAAACTATAGTTAACTAATAAGAAAATGAATATCTTCTTTAACTACTATACAATAAAATATAAGAACTAACAATGTCATATCTTACCAATTCCACACTTTTTGAAGTTGTGTAGGTTTTGTTATATAGAATTAAAGCATTTTGAAAACTAATCTAGTACTTATGTATTTGGGGCAAGAAATGTTGGAACAGTTACACCCGTGATCAAACAATAACACTCAAATGTTAATACTATTTCCTACAGATCTTTGGTATAATCAATAAAATATGTTGATTTAATAATTTACATTGTATAGGAACAATAAATTATAAAACCAAGTTTTTTTTTAAGTAGCAATACAAAATCTTCTGTTTAAAATCTACATTTTTAATAAAATATGTTTATTAGTTACCATTGTTAACAGGAGCCTGTTCAGAATTACTGGCACCCTCCATGTTTTCAGAAGTTTGGTCAGTCAGTTTTTTCTTTCCAGTTTTCAAAACATACTCGATGACTTTGCGAATTCCTAAAAAAAAATGAATTAAGACATTATGAGTGTTAAATTGTTTATGGCCATAGTTGCCGGGCTTTGGTTCAATACAATTTAAAAAAATTATTAGTCTTTGTTTTAGCAGAATACAAGTAATAAAATAAGTAATGATTTAACATACCATTATTATTGTGAGATGATGATGGAGGAGGATCCACTGGTTGAGAAAGATACTGTAAATATAAAATCAAATACAATTGAAAGGGGCTGGAGCACATCATGTCTTAAGGAGTAACATTTAGGCAATTCATATGACATGTACATTTAGATATGCTGTGTGCAGCGGTGAAATGAACCTAACATAACCCATAAGCAACCTAAAATTGACACAGAACCTCCCTCCCACCCTTCTACTAACAATTTATAATAAACACAAGTACTATTAGCATAACTATTATTTGCTTACGATAATTATTATTTAGTCATTGTTTTTTTTACATTCATATTGAGCATCCATCACCCACCCACCCCTAAATATTAAAAATATCCAGAAGCAACTGTTCCTCAAAGACCATGTTCGTTTCGCCACTGGCTATGTGAGTAATAAATTAATATTAAAGTGTGTTTCCGAGAATCGCTGTCACGCCATGTCGGACAGCCACACCTGGATCCTGGATGCAACTTTCGATGCACATGCACATGTCAATACAAATATTGTTATTTGCATATCTATAAAACAACTATAAGTGGTAAAAAATTTAAAAAAAGTATTTCCTTCAAAAAAATTGTTGATTTATAAGCTTCTTGGGTTCTAGACCTTCAGGAATCGCTGTTTTGATTTAAAATCAGATGTGCCCAAAATAAATACAAACGCAATTATTTCATGGATTTTTGAAAATAAATCTTAACCCTTACACCCTTTAAAATTGAAAACTGTATTCCTAAAAAGCCTTGATATTTTGTCAAAGATTTCATTCATAATTTAAGAGGACATCACATTTTTGTGCATTTTAAAATGATTATAGCTTAATTAAAAATAATACAAGAGTAATAAAACCTTTCCACATGCCCTAGATGATATTCTTGCCTTTAAATTTTACTGGAGGTAAATTCACTCACATTTTAGAAATTACTGAGTAAAATTTATTATTGTGAACATAGAATATGCCATGTTGTATGTTTGTAAAAAAAAATGCCCGTGCGGCACACCCTTAACTATTAAAATCAGACATTCTAAAGCATGTGTAATTTACCACCGCTTATTGGTCTAAAACGTACAAAAAATATGTGTGCTTCGATCGTCTTAAGTAATATAATTTTCACAACTGTACAACTTGTCATGATTTGAGACTATTACTAGGTACTTACTCTAACTGGAAGTAATTGCTGAGTTCTTTGTATAGGTCTGATTCCTAAACAAAAAAATTTGTAATTCAACAAAAATTAGAAAAATATTGCAAACCAATTCATAGACTTAATATATTAAGTACCTATCTTATACAACTAAGTACTATTTGGCTTAAAACGATGGATAAGTATAAATATGAATGTATATTTAACATACCTTGGACCTCGGTAATTAGAATTAAAAATCAATAAATAAAGTAGGTATACTACATTAAATTTAAATATCGTAGCCAATATTAGGTAGTTGTTGGTATAAAAAAAGATAGGCATTAATACATTAAGAAGTGAGTTTTACATACTTGGTAGGGTGTTAGTTGCAAATGAAACCGAAGCAGTCGTCGATGGTAAAATAGTCTATAATACATAACAATTTGAATCCATACAACTTGCATAATTTATCTAAGACTATCAAAACTTACTCTGAGACGAGGTTCTTTATTTTGATTTTTATGATTATTTTTTTCAGACGAATCCATCATTCCAAATTAGTAGTCTGATTCAAATCAAATAATTCTATAAGTCCATCACTTCTTATCTGATCCTAAAAATTTTTTACACTTTTACACAATTCAAACAATTAAATACCCACAGTGGCGGCGTGATAGGGTGTTTCATGAGGCAATTGTCTCACGACCAATTAGGTGGTGGTACCCCCGGGAACGGATATTAAAAATCACATATGGAATATGGTCAACTAATACCATTAGTATTAGTAGTATTACTTTAACCTTACGTTTACTGGAAATAAACTATTATCTATAGTGCATGTTGTATAGTGTGCAATAACGCAGTATATTGGTGCCATTGTGGTAACACGTAACACTATCATAGATAATATTGTATCATTATTTTATTTATCTATTAACAATATTTCACCTTCGTTGGTTGGGCTGTATGCAGCACTGGTAAATCGTGGATGCACGTAATATTGAAGTAATGACGAATTGACGGTTATGTTACTTTTAACTTTAAAATTTTATTAAGTATTGTTATTTGTTGTTCATATTCTGGAGACAATAAATGCATGGGTAGCGACGTAGCGTTCTCTTAAGAAAAAATCCCATAAAGCTCGCTTATGTTTTTTATTTTTTATTTTTGTAGCAATTTATAATTTGTCATAATATTTATTACAATAATACCCAATAAAATAATAAAAAACTAATTATTATTTTCTCAATGGTAGGTAAAACTGATAAAGTCAGTAACAGATAAAGATTAACTACAAGCGAAGACCGATTAGAAAGTTTGATGATTTTAAACTGTAAAAGAGTTATAACATTGATTATAATTTGGCCATTGATACTTTTGCAGCAACATCAGATTTATTGAGGGACAATTTATTGTTTAAATAAAGATTTATTGTTATTTATATATTATAAGTAATTTTATTATATTTCTGATATTAACATGACAAAGTACATTACTGTTGTAGAATTGTGAATTTGGGGGTGTGGGAAAAAATTTAGGTGGTGGTGGTGGTCAAGCATTTATACTTGCCTCATAAATTAAAATAGTTCACGCCGCCACTGAATACCCATTACATAATTGTTTTTTAAAAACAAAAACCTAGATAATATGAGACATTTAATGACAACTAATTGAATAATTATAATAATTATAGTATTTACTACACTGCATAGAAGCAGAATTGAGAGTGGCATTTAATCTTTTAAAAAGAGTATGAAAAAACATTTAAATATAAATTATGTAAAAGAAGTTATTGAAAATCAAACTTATTCAAACCTTTTTAAACAATTTAAAGTGGCTTAATCTATTTCCATAAGTTTGGCCCCTTGTGAAAGAATATTTTCTTCAACAAGACGAATAAAAATTGGCTAAGATCCTTCATGGCACAAGATTGGTTTACATTTTTAGTTATTTTAAATATAGAATAAGAACTAACAAATTAAATGAAGATAATATTTTTGTGCCTCAATAAATTTGCAGAAAAGGACACAAAAAAATGTTAATTTAACATGGCTTAGTAATAAATATTGAATAGCAATGAACTGTATATGTTATTGATTATTTATTTACATTCTTCTTATTCAAATTTATTTAGGTAGCTAGCCTGTACGTTACAGTAAATTTTACTTTGAAAGAAACTATGAACTACAGTTAAGGACATCTAAGCAATACAAATATAAATGTTAGTATTGACAGTCAATATTATAGTGGTGTGGAGGTGAAGCCCCGGCGGGTTACCTACTGACATCTGTAAAATTTAGCCCACCCAGGAATAGAGCTCTAGTTGCATCTATGTGAGACATTGACTTACAAATTACAAATAGTAATAACACCCGCCTTGATAAATGATGACATTAACATTACCTTTTGAGCATATATACATATGAGTAACCACTGAGTATATTGATACACGGTCTGTACTTGGAGCAGTTGTTCGGTTACAATTGGGTGCCACAGTGTGTGCGTTGACAATATATACTTTAGTAGCACACAGCGGGCAACCGGATCTGTTGTATTCTTGGTTGACAGCCGAAATCGAAAAGAAAAACACTGTCCGATAAACAATAATAAATGTCACTGAAACGAGGAACGAGCAAATATGTAAAACGATCGTCTATACTTAATGTCAATAAAATGAGCGAGCGAGTGAGCAAAAATAAGAGAGCGATTCGAGTAGGCACCCGGCACAACGTGTCACCCCAATAAATTGCGGATGACGGCAACTACGACGACTACCAAGACGAACACAATGGCGATTCCGGCGGCGAAGACGAAGATTCCGACAGTGGACACCTCTCGTTGGGTACGACGGCGGCAATCGCGTCCGGACATGGTGCGCAAGAAGTACGACAGTTGCAAAGACCCGGTAAAAACACTTGTCGAATGTCCAGTAATCGTTTTGGTTTTTATTTTTTTTTTCCGTGAACGGACGGCGATGGCTTAGGCACGAAAGCGAGCGAAAACGAAAACTGGCGGGCGGACACGACGGACACGACGGACAAGAATCGGCGAACGAACGACGGAGGACCGATCGCAGCGACAGTGGACTCGAAACTAATGGTTCGCCGGCCGGCAGCATGCGGAGAGGCTCACGTTTTTCGTAACGACGTTTGGCGCTGTTGCACGGGTGGCGGCGGTGGGTACGAAGAATGCCATTCGCTGGCGAGCCTAAACGCATTGACCGGCCACGTTATGGCGGGGGTAGAGTTTTGTTCACGTTGTCTCCGCCGCTACCGCCCCCACTCCGGACGACATGTGGTGGAGAACGTGGTTGTTGAGGGAACAATGAAACGTACCCGGATTATCGGCCCGAAAAATGCATCCCGCATGCCGCAGGCGGTGCTGTACGGTTGAAAAGGTTCTAACGTGTATTCGTCGCTCGACAATTATTCCCATAATATACCGCAATCGAAAGTCGCGTTCCAGGCGAAACTTGTTCGAATCCGCGTGGTTTGGCGGTTTTAGCCGGGCGTCTTCCGGTCATCGTACGGAGTTGTTGTCGCGAACACTAATATGTCGCTGACGATAACTGACGAGCACCGAACACGACGCGACATTCGCGGCAGACGGGTCATAAAATATACGAATAAATAAAGATTCGTTGAATTCGCGACGCGCAACAGTATGACTGTATGAATACTAGATAACCTAATCAAAGCCGTACAAACATTCCGTTACATCAGCTGCTGCTATTGCGCGGTCGACTCACCAACTTTTGCCGTTATCAGTAAACATATTTCCCAATGAAACCTTACGTAAAACCGCGGCAAACGGGATCCGAAGTCCGTGTCAATGTAGAGAGCGCTAGCTCTGTATTCGTGTACGACAAAAACAAACAACAACAGCCGCGTACCACCGAAGGTCGGCGGTGCCTGCCGGTATGCAAGCCTCTCGTCGGTATGCACCTTGAGCAATACGTGTTGTGTTGCACCCTACCGCATCGTTCGTAATGTTGAACAGGTCGCGTTCAAATCCCCGGCCTTCGATTGGCCGAATTCCGGCGGGGTTATCGTTGTCGTGCGCCGGGTGTTACGGCAAAGCAGAAAAATACTATCGCCGTTGTGTTGCACCGCGCGCGGTTACTGTGGATAATATTTTCAATACTACCACCCTAAGAAATTTTTTTTTTTACACCTCGACTACCACGATGTTTTATCTAAAATCGTGATTACTGTTGATAAAATGTTTGACGATGTCTACCACTGACGTATGCATAGGACGTATACACGTCCGTGATGTCTACCGAGATCGCGTGATAAAATGTCGTAGACTTCAACACGTAGTTGTACGGTGTGACCGTATGAAATACTAAAATGTATATAACCATCGGGCACATGATATATATATATATATATATATATATGTGAACCATGTACACATCACAACAAAATATTATGGACGGCATCATGCCGTGTGTAAAGACACCCTACAATAATAAATACGACAATACATTAACTTAAGTGCAGCCGACTTTAAAGACCTCCGTAGACACGGACACGGGACGATTACCACGGGATGCGAATAGAGTACGATTTGTGTGTGACACACGCAGTTACGAGCTATCTTTGCGACTTAGGTCCACCGATACAGCCGATATAGGTCTGACAATATTGTTAGTCGTCAATAATTGATCACGATGTAACACCTAATAGGTGATGGATCTCATTCTTTAGGAATTCGCTTAGTCGGCGAATGGCAAAACCGCATCGCACACAAGTCGAGTGGCAATCGTCTCGTGTACGGAGGGACGTGTAACTATAAAACTATTTCATTATTGTATTATTATTATTATTATAGGAATTGTTGTATGGACTGTGATTGTACATAGTATTATTTTGTACCTGTGACCTGTACCGCCCGTATTGTATATTGTTTAATAATTTTAATATTTGTATTAGCAATAGTGTTTTTATTGAACTATATTTATATATTAATTTAATCATTTGTACATGTATTGATTTGCATTTTATATAATTGTTTAATATTTTTACTTTTAATTTTTTGTCCTTAGGGAAATTGTCCCGTTCGTGGTGGGACGTCGAATGAATCGTGAGAGGAAGGCACGGGGGAAGCGTCCTAGGCTCGGTCAAACAGTAGGTAGTAGTATTGAGATATAGACATATGGTAGATATAGACATATGGTATAATATATTCAATGGTAAAACTAGTGGTACATTGTTAATTTACACGAATATTATGTTGGGCTGTAAGTGTGGTATTATATTTTCGACTCTAATGTGTTATAGGCACGAGTGGGCTCGATATTAATGTGAGATACGAATGTGTAGATTTTAGATCCGCATTCCAACTGTGAACAAAAGCTATTCAAACAACCTTATTTGCCAAATGTGTGTGCATTGTTATTTAGGCCTGCAGTGCAAGGTAGCTATACCGGATTAAGGATAGCTACCTACTGTTGTTGGAAAATACGACAACAATATATGATACACTTATAATACACAGTAGATATATATTGTAGTTTTTCGATCGTGTGTTTCTAACGGATGAAAGACACGTATATGCG